AACCATGGAGCAATATATTTTCTTGGTGCAGACACACAGGTCTATCATAGAGCTTTAAGGTATAAAGATTGATTTGTTGAGTGATGTTATATTTGTTTATTGACCATCTTTTGTTCTCAGTGGGAAACTTGAATCTCAAAGAGAATATTTTACAGGTGAAATAAAGGTAAAATTAATAATCAATAAAATAATCTAATGTACAGTAAATTGGATAGTGTTTTTATATTTTTCGCCTGGCTGACTTGTCTACCTCCTCTTTGTGGTTCATTAGGATGTTAAAATGTAGACAACTGCCACTTCATAGTGCACAAAATGGGTTTAGGAAAATACATAGATTTTTATTTTAACTAATTTAAGACATGAATATATTATTATTTTTGGGCTTTTATAGAGGATAAAGGACAGTGGAAAGAGTCGGAAATCCGGGAGAGAGAGAAAGTAGGGAATGAAATGCGGTAAAGGAGCCACAGTCGGATTAGAACTGGAAGCTGGAGAGGTGCCAGTGCGCTTCCTGAGCACTGCCAAGTTTAGCAATGCACTGAACCCACAATTGCTCAGGCAATCTTTCATGTGCAGCCCTTACTCTGACATCTCTCCATTAGTGCATGTCAATAGGGTCCTGTTTGTGCATGTGTGTGTGTGTGTGTATTACAGCCTTTGTGTGTGTGCATGTCTCAACAACAGAGTGTAAAATTGAATTTCCCCTTGAGGGATTAATAAATAGTATCTTCTTTTTCTTCTTCTTTTAAATGCCTGAATGTCTAGTCTCAGTTTGAATGCTAAAGATATTAGGTTATCTTCTACTCAGCATGGGAATCAAATCAGCAATAAGTGAACAAAGAAAGAGACAGAGACAAAGAACCACTTCAGTCCTTTGTTAATAATTAGAAACTAATAGTCCTCAAGAGTTAACCAACTTTGTTTCCTATATATTATAAGTTGTTTGTAAGGTAAATTGGGGCTCTATACCTCCTCTTCATGGACCCATTATACAGACAGCACTGCAAGAGGAACACACAGAGCATCCTCAAACCAGCCCGTGCTTTGTTCAGGTGGAAGACTACAACTGGAGACACCACAGGCCAGAGAACATGGCAACTCACAAAGCCCGCTTCCACATCAGCAGCTTCTTCTGTACGACTCATAGCACAGGAAATTAAGGTGGGAAGGAAATACCACAACCCACACCTCACCTAGTCAATGGACAGTGCACCATCTCACAGTCCAATAACATTGTGTATTAATAACCTTGGGGAAAAAAACAATGCAATTGTATAATGTGAAAAAAAAATCAGTGTGTGAAAAATATCATGTGCAATCATAGATGTACAAACTTCTCAGGACAAGAAAAACATTTTTTATTACATTGTATTTTATCTCTTTTTTTCATTTAAAAAAATAAAATAAAAAATTATATATATATATATATATATATATATACACACACACACACACACACACACACACACACACACACACACACACACACACACATACCAAACAAAGCAAACAGCAATCAAAGCATACTTTCTGTAGTGGCTCGATTATTTTTTCCTTAACCAGTCCATGTTCGAAAAGGTTCTATGATGAAGTCAAATAATCTACTTTTATAGTTAAATAAAAGTGTATAGTTTTTGTACAGTGTGTATTTATTGTGTTATATATATATATATATAACTACTTATTTTTCTGCTTTCTTATCCTTAATATTGCTCTTCCACTTCTGTAGAATTGACTCTAGGAGAAATGCACCAAATTTCCAATGCACCTGTACTGTCCTGTACCTGTGAAAATGGCAATAAACATCTTAATTGTCTTTGCATAGCAACCCTCCTTGATTAAAATACAATAATTGAGAATCCGTTTTTTTTATAGATTTGTTGAAGGCAAATATGTTTAAAATAACAATAAAATGCGGTTTATAGTTCTACAGTGACCTTCATTAAAGCCCGCAGAGAGGTGACCCGCGGGGCGCTAGGACCCTGCAGAGGCTGTCGGTAGCACTATGCTAACCTACGATGCTAACACAGGCTAGTGCTGTCACAAGGATTCATGAACCACATTTACTACTTACATTTTAGTGCTTCAATTGAGGTGAGAAAAACGCACTCTTCATTAAACTGACGCTACCTTGATATAAAAAACAGCACTGCTGTCAGTAACTGAACTCTTATGAGATAACTTAAGCTAAATCAGTGTTTGCTTTGTATACCAGCATTAGCATTAGCATTAGCTTCGAAAGCTGAACACATTGTTAGATTTAAGCTTCATAAGCTGACTGCTTACACATTAAGTGTTCATCTAGTGTTGACTGCTGAAACAGAAGTGCTTTTCAACGTGACCACGTTATTGTTTGCATTGTTTTGATGGTAGTCAAACCCAATTAGCTGACACGACAAGTCAGGTAGCTAACGTCGGCTAAAGAGCTAGCAGCCCAACCCAACCCACACTCAGGTAGAAAGGTGTTTACATTCATGTGCCTACAAATGTGTCCGCTTATAACCACCTTTCTAATGTAGTAACATGTAAGTGTTTACGCCTTTTCTACGTTAATAACTCAAACGTGTGTTTTCTGGCCCCTGTCAGCTTAAGGTTTACGTTCACTCGTGACGTCACTTCTCTGTGACGTCAGCAGAGGATTAACATCGTGACGTCAGTAGCTCACTAACTCCTCGTCATTATTAGTGAAATATTGATTCAGACTGCATTGTGATGCGTTCAAGTGTCAGGTCTTGTTCACCTTATTGAGTGTGTGAAAGTGACCTCAGCAGACAGGTGTACAGGCTACAATCAAACCCACAGGTTATGTGTTCAGTGCTTAGGAATAGAAAACATCAATGAATAGATCCATTGTGTGTGTAGCCCCAGCCTGATGTACCCTAGTCCTCTGTGGTAACTTCAACTAACTAATTCCATGTGGTAAATTGTTGCACAGGTTTATATGTATTTTTGACCAATATGGGAGATCGTGGTGCAGTGGTTGGTGCACGCGCCCCTTGTACGGAGGCTGTGGTCCTCCAGGTGGGCGGCCTGGGTTCGTGTCCGACCTGTAGCTCCTTTCTCGCATATCGTCCCCCACTCTCTCTCACTCCCTGATTCCGGCTCTATCCACTGTCCTGTCTCTCTAATAAAAGAGAGAGAACAGTGATTTATGCCACGTTATTTGTGTCTTTCCTCAGACTTAGTCATGTCTCAGGTGGAGAAGAAGGCGGGGCTGCTGCGGAGGACCTCGTCCTCAAAGAAACCCCTAAAAGAGAAGGTGGTGCTGATGTATGATGAGATTTTTGCGGTGAGTACTACAATGGGAGAATGTTAGTGAAGATGTGAAATTGAGAATTTGTAAAAAAAAGTTGATGCACACAGTGTAAACGAAGACCTGTCTTTTTCTGTGAATTAGAAAGAAGATCCAGCCAAAAACAACCCTCGCTTCTGGGATGAGCTGTTTCTAATGAAGGTGAAGTCAAACAGAGAAATGCTTGACAAAAAGCTGCACACAGTTGGGTCGAAATGTATTTTTGTGTTTAAAGTACAAACTCTCACTAGGTTATTTTGGTATACAAATTGACGCCTATTGTTTATTAATGTTAACAGAGACAGATGTTCCACATCACTGAAAGAGATTCTGCTAAAATTGTAAAATATTAAGAACATCAGTTGAACATCTGTTATTGTCATAGGTGTGTATATTATTTACACAATATTGTTTATACATCAAAAGGAGGCCCTTCCTATGTGTAGAAGAGCAGCAAGCTGTCATAGCTCGTCTCAAATGTTACAAGGCTACAGTTCAAGTTTGACCTTTAAAAACTTCATATGGAGGCATCATGACAGCATGGCCAAAAAGTCAGCATTCAGACTCATATTCATCAGTTAAATGTGCCTGGAGATATTGTACTGTATGGAGAGAAAAGAGGAATTAGAGATCTGAGCATTTAGACTGCAGCTGCTTTGCTTCCTCTCCTTTCTAATTGTCTATGCCGAGGCTGTTTCGACATAAGGTCATTGTGAAATTGTCTTTGAAAATGTCATTTCACCATCAATAACAGATTTTTTACATCACATCCTTATTTATTGTCCTTCAACCATGTTTCAGGTGAACCTGGAGTACTTAGAGTCAAAGTTGGAGAGTATAGACGGGGAGGAGGTTCAGCGGATCCAGGACAACATCAACTCTTTGTTCCACCACTGTGTCCAGGCACTGGGAGAGGAGCACCAGATCAAAGTGGTCAATGCTCTGCAGGTAGAGTTGGCCGATAGATGATTGTTTATCCATTAATTGGAATCTGTGATTTATGACATCCTTTAAAAAGCAAACCCTTCACTCACCTCCTGTAGGTAATTGTTACATAAGAGTTCTTAGCTACCGTTAATAAAAGTTTGGGGTTTGTTTCCAAAGAAGCACCTCACTAGTCTGAAAGTGGTTCAGTTTTGAAGCCTCTAACCTCGAGCAAATCACTGCTGCCTGTAAAGTTTGTCTTTGATCTGTGACACATAAAAGCAGCAACACAGCTAAATTATTTCAGCATCTCATACAGAGTCAGAGAAGCATGTGGGATAAGTGTGTGGTTCTGTGAGTTGTACAAGACACAGCTGTCTGAAAACAACTCAAAATCTCTGATAACATTAGCAGAATCATTTAACCCTGGTGTGTAATATGTGAAGAAGGTGTTCTGGTGAAAATACTTGCAGATCAATTAGGTAGCATTTTACATAAAAAAGATGAGTTTCCAGTGTCAGAGGATTATACACCAATCAGCCGTAACGTAACTAACACTGTCAGGTGAAATTAATAATAGTGATCATGTGTTGCAATGATGCTTGTAGTTGGTGGAATATTTTATGCAGCAAGCAAACATCTTGTCCTGAACTTTATATGTTGGAAGCAGGAAAAATGGTGAAGGGTAAAGATGTGAGTGACTATGACACGGGCCAAACGACTGGGTCATAGAATCTTAAACTCTGCAGCTCCTGTGAGGTGTTCCCGGTTTCCAGTGGTCATTGTACCGACCACAAGTGGTACAAGGAAAGAAAACCGGTGACAGGGTTATTGGTGGCAAAGGCTCATTGATGTCATCATCATTTATTTTATTTAAATCCTCGGAAAACACATTGAGGGAGAAACCTCATTTGCAATGGTGCAGAGGTACAAGATACAGAAACAAGAGAACAGCAAGAACAAAACAGGAAGTACCAGCACATGCAGTACATGTGCGTGGGGAGCAAAGGATGTCAAAGACGACAGAAGAGCTACAGTGTTTCAGAACACACAGTGCATCTATGGGTCAGGGCTGTTTGGGAGGCTAAAGAGGACATACACAATATTAGGCAGGTGGGCATTTAGTCATAGCTGATTGGTGTATAATACAGTATATTAGTATTTCATCACCACAATCCTTACTGTGATCATACATTAAATAGATCAGAAAGAAGGAGAAAGATTTAAATGTATTTCACTCAGTAGTCATTATGGAATAAATCCTATAAGTGGTGTGTAATCTGCGGCATACTTTAGGCCATAATGTCCAAAACGTCCTGCAGATAGGTCAACTTTGGGAGGATCACAGTGCTTTACCCCTGAAGATGAAGTAATTGTAACGACACAATAGAAGAATCAGAAGCTTGCAGATGATACTGTAACTGTAGTGAAACGTCTCGCCTTAAAGGGTTCATAGGTCTTCTTAGTGTCATCAATATACTTGACCGCTGCTGCTCTAAACATCAAGAAGACTTGAGCGTGAAATGCTTTTTTGTTTCAAGTTTCCTGGCTGTCACTTTACTCCTCTGCCTTCCTCCCCAGACTCTCTGTGCACTTTTCCGAGGGGTTCACCAGAAGAACAAGTCTGCGTCCGGCTTTGACATCATCAACATGCTGATGGGGTTTGACAAGGCTGAGCAAAGGATGAAGGTGTGTGTGTGTGTGTGTGTGTTTGTGTGTGCGTGCGTGCGTGCGCGTGCGTGTGTGCGTGTGCGATCTGGAAGAAAGACAGTAGAGAGATAAACAGTTTGTCATTATTCATGTGATTTGTCTCTCAGGACCTGATGGAGAGACTGGACAGCCTTCTCTGTGGAGACGGATCAGAAAGTCTCAAGAGTCTGTGCCTCAAACTGCTCCTGTGTCTTGTGACGGTGAGGCAGAAAATATATTTAAAAAAAAAGGAAGATGAACTACAATATGTTCGGCTTTTGGGAATGCTAATGTGAAAACTGTGTCTACAGGTAACAGACAATATAAGTCAGAACACCATCCTGGAATATGTGATGATCAACAGCATCTTTGAAGCCATTCTGCAGGTGAGCGATGAGCAGAAGACATTGAGTCTTCTGTGATTCTGGGAGTTTAATTTGAAAACAGTCTTTCTTACAATTGTGATCATATTTGCTGTCCCTTTCTCTCCTTCTCAGATTCTGTCAGATGTATCCAGTAGAGGGCAGCATGGTTATGATGCTGTCGTTCTCCTGGCCCTTTTGGTCAACTACAGGAAATATGAGGTATTTGCAGATTTATCAAATGATGTTGTCTATTGAAAATCCTTTCTAAGCAGGGAGGCTTAGTCTGCATTTTAACTGATGAATGTCCACCTTTCCTGCCACGAGAAACTAACATTTGTGCTGCTTAGTGCAGAATGTCCAGGACAGATTTGTCGTCTCTATGAACTCTGAACTTGACATCTTTATCTGATATAGATAGAATTTATTGAACATTTCAGGATGACTGCCCTTAAAATTTTTTAGTTGCTTGTACACACATGCACCTTGCAGCGGGAGGCAGGAAATTACATAAAATGAACGACAGAAAAAGCTGATGAAGCAACAGAGTTTGTGCTATGATGACAATTTTGGCCTTTACATTTGCATAGTTGAATTCATGTGTGCTTGTTAATGCAAAAACTGGCGTTATACTTAATCCAAAGTGTGAGTACAAATTAAAAGTGAATTCCAAAGGGGGATTTTGGGAAATATCTTTCCGAGTTACCTCAGGTAGCAAAGACGCAGACTGGCCTTTTATTTATATGAAATGACTGAGAGTAACATCCACTCTAAAATGACTTCCAATTCACCTCCGTCTTCGGTAATTTCTTGGAATGATAGGAATGGCAGTGTGGGGGAGGGGATACAAGGATGAGCATTGAGGTTTTGGGTGCACTCTCATGTGTAGGCAAAGCAACCAACAGTAGAAGAAGAATCCTTTGATGAACATTGACAGAATGTGGGCTTCAAAATGTTTAAAACACAGCTTAACTTTTCTGCGACTTTCACAGTTTAAGATATTGCTGCAGCCTGAAAAAAAACTCTCAAACTTCTGGAGATGGGAGTCCTCATATTATCCACAAGCACACCAGTCCTGCATAATGATTCAGGCCCCGTGTCCACGTAGGGTTTTGTTCTGGGCAGAAAAGCGCTGGATGTGTGCTTGGGAGTGTTTGCATGAAGCGTTTGTGCTCTGTGAAGAAAAGCGCTAAATGTCCGTCCTGTCTCTATGACAACAGCCGCTGTATGACCGGAACGGCTCAATTACTTTTTACTGCATCATTTTTTTAGATCGTTTATTTCCCGTTCAGACACGGAGCAAGGAGGATGTGGGTACAAGACACGATCCGTAGGTGGCTACACTACAGGGAATATCTTACATTTGCAAAAAAGCGCAGGTGATGTCTACAGCGCCTTTCTGAAAAGTTGAAAGATTTTTAACTTGAGCGGTTGTAGCGGGCGAACAAAAAAGGCAGAGCGCTCTAAAAAAAAGATGCTGTGCGCCGCGCTTTTTCTCCAGACGGCTGTCGGCTGCTGCAAATTATCTCCTCATTGAAAAGAATTGAAAAGAGACGCAGGTGCTCAATAAAAAAGCGCTTGGTGGACACGGGGCCAAAGTCATGTTCTTGGCAACTAACAATAAAGTAGTGGCGTTAATGGACCTTGCATGTTTATGTAAGAGACCATCATGTATAACTTTAGTTTTCATCAACAGTTCATCAACAGTTCAGTTATTAGTGAAGTTTTGAGTTCTGCTTCTGATTTGACTCCTTTCCTCTGTTTGTAAGTCTGTGAATCCGTACATAGTGAAGCTCTCCATTGTGGATGATGAGCCAACCCTCGATGTAAGTTCATAACTGCACAATCTGAAGTAACCAGTGTGGTGTCAGGCTGATTGTGAAGGGTTTGACTCAAACACTTTTCTCCCTCTCTCAGGGAATGGGGATGGTTGTCCACCACGCTCTGACAGAATATAACAGGTGAGATCTAAAAATGTCCGCATGTCAAAAACATGTTTATTCATCACGTGGTGCATGGCAGGCTGAGGCGGTAGAGTCATCCGTTTAGTTTAATGTCTCCCACAAATGTTCTATTTCTATTCTCCTGACTAAAAACGTCCCTTTTCTTCTTTGGGTTATTTATATCCGACAGCTTTCTTTGTCAGTCCGTTATGTTCTTTTTTAGATGAGGCAGAGGTTTGGAAATTAAAATGCTGTTTGGGAAGTCTGCCTGTGTCAATAGACGCATCAAAGTGATGGATGATGGCTCTGTACAGTTCATTGTTTTTGTGTTAAAACCGAATGCCCTCCGATAATAAATAGCAGCAAGTAGAAGTAGATGTTA